GCCTCACACATGATGAACAATTGCTCTTTCTATTGTGTTGAGTGCCACACTATATTCACTACACCCTATGCAAATTATGCTTGGATTGTATTGCACTTGACCCATGTGTTTAGACACTTCATTTTATTTGGTGTTGTGAATGATTCTTTTGCCTACCATAGACCTTTCATTGAGCAATTTGTGAATGCTTGCTATGAACTTGAGGTAGATGCTTATTCTCTTGTCACACATATTTGCATCACTACCTCATCTTTGCATATTTGTCCCCATGATATCCTTGATTGTGATCAATTTATGTGCTTACATGCCATGTCACAATCCTTTGTCACACCCGATGCTATGCTTGATGACGACACTTGTTTGGTGAATCGCCTCTTGAATGCTTGGTTTTGCACTAACGCTAACCACATTTGTTTTTCCAAGTGTTTGTTGTTCTTGCTTCTTTTGAAGGAATCACTAGACGGTGCGACATTGGAGAGTGCCCATTTCGAGTTTCAAGATGATGAGTGCTTGGTGACCGACCACTTCGACACGGCACCGCCATCTCTTTCCCATGGTGATTTGGTTTTCGATCCGAGGTTGGATCTTTTCCAAGGGGGAGGGGATGATGCGGAGCATCCTACGGTCATCACCATGTCAAGATTCCGTTTGGCAAGTGACATGTGCGACCTCTACTTCTCATACATAAAGGTGAATATTCTCCTTTACACGTGTTCACTTGACCCCTTCGAGGATGGTGTACTACTTGACACTTCTCCCGTGTGCATGCATAGGTATTGTCGGAGCTTCATGGATGTCGAGGAGGAGTGCAAGCGCCAAGGAACACCTACACCATCCGTGAGGGAAGCATGGAAGAGAAGTAAGAAGAAGCCTGGACAAGCTTCTGGAAAGCCCAGAACTTCCGGCCACTGCCCGGAACTTCCGGCCCCCGGAACCTCCGGCCGTCCCGGAACTTCCGGCCCTGACGCATCGAAGCCGTCCGAGAGTGTGCCAACTCCCTGGATAGCCCGGACCCTGGCCAGACCTTTGCCCAGAACCTCCGGCTCCCGGACCTTCCGGCCGTCCCCGGAACTTCCAGCCCTGCCTGCACGCAGAGACTCGGCTCGTGGCCATGTACCCTTTCGCCCCTCACTTACCCCTTCGTGGCTACTACTATATATACTCATCCCCCTCCTCCATTCTAGGGTTAGCAAATATGATAGCTCATTCTTAGGTGAGCTTTGCTCCTACCTCTACTCTTGAGAGAGAGACTACCACTCCCATGGAGTTCAAGACCTCCATGTGAGAAGATCCTGCGGGATTCAAGCCCCCCCTTCGTGGGAAGATCCTTCTAGGATTCAAGCCCTCATCTCCTTCATAGGATTTGGGATGAACTCTACCTTGTATCTTTCTCTTTGTTGTTCATGTACCTTGTGGATCTTGTGTGTTTGATTGTCTAGTGGATGTGTGATTGGACTTGTTCTTGAGTGTTTTCCCTTGTGATTTCTCCCCATTCTTCCCCGTGTTCATCGTGTTCTTCGAGGGATCCCACTCCAAACGTGAAAGATCGGCCTACACCGGGTTAGCCCCGTATCAATAAGCCATACCATGAGCACCAGTTAGCATTGTCATTCAGAATTTCGAGATCACCTAAAAGACAAAAAAGGTGTACACCAATAAATGATACATGTAAATGGTCAGTTAGTACTTCTGAATGGCACAAGTTCAGTTGTATATGCATTACATCACAAGACAACCAAACTGTCAGGACCGCACATAAATTTCAATGGACAGAAGTAGAATCATATAGTAAGATTTAGGGGGCAGGGAGAGTACATGGTTAACGCCCTCACCTGCCTGAGGGGTATATGGTGTTGAAGTAGCAGCACAATTCTCACCCGTGTCATGTGAATATTCCAAATGAGCCAGGCACCAGAGCAACGAAGCAAGCACAGACCCCCAACCCTGTAAAATTGAGAGTCAAAAAATATAGATAAAATTGAAAGGGGCAAGAGATATTAGAAATTCTTGATAGCTAAGATGATTGCCGAACCACTCAAAATTGAGACAGCATAGTGGTGTTCGTGTGTGATTGGCAGCACAATGGTAAGTGACCATCGTCAAGTGATGATATAATCCTGGGAGCGGCAACTAAATCGAATAGTATGACAAACACGATGGTGGAGTCACAGCAACGACACGACCATAGATCCTTAGAGTCCTGCCAATGGATGGGGTGTTGCTCCTGCTACTCCATCAGAAGCAGCGGGAGTGGTAGGGGCGGTGTAGTGGTGTCAAGGAGATCAAAGTCATGATTGACGTCAGAGAATGAGACAGGGCCATGACACAAAGAACAATAGCAGGTAAGAGCAGAGGAGGGGAGTGCCTTACTGAAACTGAACCGCGGGTGTTGGAGTTGAGGTAGTCAAGGCGAAGCAGCAACATCAAGCCCCAATTGGTAGCAGTGTTTGCAGAGATGCGGGTAGTGGGTCTACAAATGTGAGCAGACGTGGGAGCCGCTCCGGCGACCCATGGTGCCTAGGGTTGATGCAGGGGCGCGGAGGACATCGCGGCGGCGGAGGATCAGAGGAGAGTACCGCGGGAAGCCATGCCGTCAGTGAGCGACGACGCAGTAGCGCGTCGGGCCTAGCCGAACTTGGAGGTGACGGCGGCGGGAGCGGCAGCGTCAGAGACCATGGAACTGGGGTGTGAGAGAGGAATCGATAGGGGAAAGAGAGGATCAGAGGAATCGGTCGGGGAGAGAGATCATGGAATAAAAATGGGAAACGTTTTACGCCGGACGACCGGCTAAGTATTCCGCCGGTCGCATCATGCGCTGGCATCGCCCACGCAGCCACTTGCGCAGGCCCACCCACCACCGCTTTTGCCTTATCTCTTACTATTACGCATCTTCTTCCTCGCGCGGCATCATTTTCCTATTTTCTGCTCTCCTCTCTACCTACCTCAGCCCCTCCTCCCTATGCGAGAGAGAGGTCGCGCCGTTGCTGCCACGCGCATCTCGTCCTGATCGACGGCGAGGTCGTCGGATTCGCTCTTCCCCACCCCCCTGCGGCCCTGCCCCTGCCCTTCGCAGCGTCGCAGGACGCCCATGCTGTGAGACCGTAGTTCAAGATGCTCCAATCGCTGGCGCCGGGCGCTGGAACCGGCGGGGAAAGGCTGCGACCGGCATCCTAGGATGCTGCAACGGCGCCCCAGCGAGCTGGAAATCGACGACCACCTACGGCGTGAACTGGCATGGCGTGCTGCATCGGGACTCAGAGAAGCTACAACCGTCGGTGCGGCGTGCTACAACCTGCGATAAAAAGTGCTACCATGGGCGCGCCGACAGCGAGCTCGATCCCAAGATGCTGGAACCAGCTATCCAATTTGCTAGAACCAGCAAAAAAATTTGCTAGAAGCAGCCTTCTTCCCAAGGTTGCAATGGAGCTCGGCGAGCAATGTGCTACAATCGGTCATCCAATTTGCTGGAACCAGCAAAACAATTGCTGGAACCAGCCTTCTCCCTCGATGCAATGGAGCTTGGCGAGCAATTTGCTACAAGCGGCAATCCATTTTGCTGGAACCAGCAGATTTTTTTGCTGGAACAAAATTCTCTTCATGAGCTGCGGTGGCGAGGTACGTTGCCTTTTTTGCTACGACGGGTGAACAGTTTTGCTGCTGCTGGCTCCTCGAGGGAGAGTACACTTCCGCGAGGTCGTCGACGGGGTGCCACGACCGGTGACGACACCACCGGAGCTACGACAGTCGCCATGGGGAGCTACAACCACGAGCGCACGCTGCTGGACGCGCGTAGCCAGCGAGAAATGTAGAAGACGACGGCGGCAAGGGGCGGCGACCGGGGGCGAGGGGCAGCGGCCGATGGCGAGGGGTGCCGAGATGCGTCGGAGCGGTCCTTCGAGGCAGGCCGTGTCGCTTGTGTGCGGCGGCGTGGTTGGAGGTTTCCTGAGAGAAAAAGACACCAGGGGTGGAAGAAAGGGATCGTGCGGTGTGTATGTGTTCTCATTCTATTAAATCGGGTGGTTAGGGACAGACCGGCCGAAATTTTCGGCCGGTGCGCCGGCGCCTATTAGCGCCCATAAAAAATGGGCTGTTTGGTGCG